GAAAATTCAACTGTTATTGAAAGATCGGAGACTGTGAATAATGAAATCTCTTTGATGAAAACCAGAGTTCTCAGAGTCTCATAATATAATATCTTCAACAGATCTTGCATCAGAACAGTGAATTTGGGTTAATTATAGCAAATTACGAAAACTACCTCCGTATTGAAATAGTATATTGATTAACGAGTACGGAATGATAGTGATTCCCATACATACCTGTGTTTTCAATAGACAAACTGATGGGTTTGTTGGGGGTGGCCATGTTCTGCTATATGTTGTAGATTGAGATGTTTATAATTCCTCTGCTGTGCCCATTCTTCAATTGTTTCGTTAGACCAACTATCGATATAAACAATTGAATGATACTTGGCGCAAGAAATAATCCGCACGCCGCACGGATACATCTTGATCTTGACAAATCTGGCACGAGTGTCATAAATTCGGCATATTCATGATTTTGTTCAAATTTTCAATAGAAATATCATAGATCAAGAGCATCAATGAGTGTATTGGGCATTCAGTATGGACTGACTGCTGCAATGAGTCTGAGGATTATTTGAAAATCCGAACATTCGATTTATTCAATGTACAAAAAGTTAGTGAATAAACTATTATCACAGGATTTTCTTGAGTTGAAATATTACGCATCGTTTCCACTTAACAAAAAATTGTGAAAATTAATATGTGAATACAAATGAATATGTCATGATGCCTATGAATTTGGTTCGAAACTTCGGGAACTCAGCAAGATTTTCCCATATGCCCCGCTATTTTAACAAAGTAGGCGATATCGAGAGATTTCGAAACTCCGTTCAATAGGGAATGATAACACTATTTGACTTCCAATACATCTATTTGTAGATTATATTAACCTGACATATTATTAGGTCATGTATCATTATACATTTCATTATGTCAGACTTATACTGATGTTATTTTCAGAGTATTACACCTAATTCGTATATCTCATTCAGATATCACTGTATCGATTTCGAGATATAGCTGTCTGTTAGATTTCTGATTGATTCATTGGAAAAGATATATTGTAATCCCTTATTTCCAATCAAGGTTTTTCTCTTTTTTTCACGGAATCCATGTTTCTTGTAGAACAATTTTCGCTTCTCGATATAACGAACTGTTCGCAGGAAAGGACGCTTCTCCATATTTCCGCCGCACCAACAAAACAATTCCTTTTCAACGCTCTATCGTGGCCGAAATTGAATCCGGGCAACCCGGAGAAAAGAGCGCTGAATCACCAGCGAAGCGTCCGCTATGGGAAATCTCATTTTTCACGAGTCCTCGCTGCATATAAACAACTCTTTGGGCGATTTAGTGGGCACGCGAGATGTTTTCGGAAATGGTCGGCCAAAAGGGCACTCACCACTCACTCTTCACTCTTCAAGCTTCGCTGCCCACCTTTTTCCTACCCTCTACGAGGGTGCGTTGATGTCTTGGCTGATGAGGGACATCAACAAACTAACTAACATTCCATCCACCACCATATTGTCACGAAAGGATATTTTCCAAATTATTCTCAAATATTACTATTTCTATTATTATTATTCCACGTTTCTAATTTATCGAGTTCATTATTTTTCTCAGCAATTCAACTGTCTTCGTTCGTGACAAAACATATTTCAATAAAATAAACATGAGGTAGTCAGGAAAGTAGTTGTTTTCTGTTGAATAAACCAATAAAGGATCAATATTCTCATCACATGGAGAATGCAAAATCCCAATGTATATTATATATACAGGGTGAGTCATTAGTGTGGCAATATGAGATAACGGCATTATCGTTTGAGATAGATGAACAAAAATCTTAGAGATGGTCTAGGATCATGAGCAGCACATTTCCAAATTATTTCGCTTTATACAGGTTGACTCAGAAATGCATGGCGTATCAAAGTTATACTTTTTCTTATGGGATACCCTGTATTTCATTGCATTTTCGCATTCTCCTTTGTGAGCTGATTTCATCAATGCATCACACTTGGGGTCTAGCGAAAATGATTATAGATATATGGGGTGTTCAAAATCGAGATATTTCAACTAAAGGATTTTTTGCGTCGAAACTATCCATTATTGGTCAAAACGGCTTTCATGTCCCAATTCCAGCTTTTGATTTACTGTCTACTGACATTTAATTGGAACAGATACAAGGGTGATCAGAATGCTGAATCTTGAACCACCCTGTACTTGTTCGAATTAAATGCCAGTAGATAGTGAACCAAAAGTTGGGACAGGGACATGAGCGTTTCGACTAATAATGAAGATTTGACGCAAAAAAATCCTAGAGTTGAAAAATCTCCATTTTGAACACTCTATATCTCCGTAATTATTATCGCTAGACCCCAAGTGTGATGCATTGATGAAATCAGCTCACAAAAGAGAATGCGAAAATGCATTGGAATACAGGGTGTCCCATGAGGAAAAGTCGAGGGAAAAGTATAACAATGATACGCCATGCATTTCTGAGTCACCCTGTATGAAGTGGAACAATTTGGAAATGTGCTGCTTATGATCCTAGATCACCTCTGGAATTTTGTTCATCTATCTCAAACAGTAAAGCCATTATTTCACTTTGCCACAATAATGACTCACCCTGTACCTATATATCAATTTTTGTTTTCATAAATATATCTGAGAATATTCTTTTTCAATACTTTCACCCAATCAAGGGGTTCAAACTTGAACGATGAGAGCTTGTTATTTTTATAGACCACAATCGCAGATTCGTGATTAGGTTTTCTCAATTCAGAATCAATTTATCGTACATCCAACAAGCGGACGGTTGCTTGTATCAACGGGAATGTCCCAATTGGGACAACCCCAAGTTTTATATATCACTTTATTTATACTGCCAAATCAACAGGCCATGGCCCAATTACAGATAGGTGAGCAAGATTTAACATCAATGTAGAAGATAATATTACTTCAGGCACATGAATGTTTATTTGACTAAGTAGATCAGGTACATTCAGTTCACTACTGATTATGTCTGAAACAAACAGCACATCATTGATATCTCTTCGGGACTCTAGTGTTATTTGCTCAAATTCCACGAGTTGAGTTCTGCATGAAATCATAAAAGCAGATTCTTTATGTTTCCTGTAGTAGAGGTTTCTCAGAAATTTCCTTCGTACTTTTTCTATCATTTCATAGTATACAGAGTTTTGCTAGATTATCTATTGTTAGTACCATTTTTATTATTTATTCAGTCGTCACCCTAATGCCTTTTCAAGGAATGTCAAAATCGTATTTTATCCTTATTTAACCCATATTTGTTTTTCTTGTTCAATCTGTAGCCCTTTTATTGATTAACAACCCTCAGCAAATCTCAACTACCATAGAAAATAAGTCACATTCGTGACAACAAATTACAATTGTAACTCTCCCCTTATCAGATTCATGAACTCTTATAACATAATCTGTGACCATGATATTGACGTCTCCAACAACAATTTCACAAGGTTCAAGAAACAAGTCAAGTACAAATGGTTTACATTATATGGTAAAGCTGCCACTTGAGGCAGCAATGTACTCACTACATGCAGATGTACATTTTTTTTCTCGCTATGCGTCAAGAGACAACACAACCTGGAGCTAAAATCTACAACTTTTTTCCCTTGTATAATAAATAACTATTTCTCTCGTCATCTACCATTGTTGTTTATTTGATGATCATTCGTATTGTGGAAATGACTGAGCTTTTTTGTATTTCTTCAATTTGATGGACAATCCTAATGTTGGGAATAATAATCATCACATTTAAATTAGATATACTAACATTCTGTATTATGTTGAAATAATTGAATTTGTTTACTGTCAGTTACTTCATAAGAATTCAATATACGTTTTGAATATAAAAGTTCTGGTTGATCTTCATAAGATTGTTAATTTATATAATAATAAAAACTCGATATCCGAACAGGTTATGCTTAGGCAAAAAGATTATGTGGAGTCAATTTTGAGAAATTTCAATATGGAAGAAGTGAAACCAGCATCCACACCCATGATAACAATAGATTGAAATCAAGAGCATACGCGATTTGAGAAGGACTTTTCTATATATCTCATGAATAAAACTCGACCAGATATTGCATTTCCAGTCAGCTTCTGTAGTCGAAAAATGGAAAAACCTACTATTCAAGATGTTTCAAATCTAAAGAGGATATTGAGATACCTGAAAGATACAAGTGACGAAGGAATACAATATATGAAGAATTCAAATCAGTTTGAATTAATCGGATATAGTGATTCGGACTTTGCTGGAGACATCGAAACAAGAAAAAGCACAACGGGCTATGTTATTTTCTTCTGTGGTGGACCAATTTCATGGTGTTCAAGAAAACAGCCGATTGTAGCTTTATCTACGACGAAAGCGGAATACATTGCCGCAGGAGATTGTACCAAAGAATTGATATATTCGAAATCATTAATAGAAGAGTTGACGAATCGTTGTATTAAGATAAAATTGAAAGTTGATAATTAGAGTTCAATTAAACTCATAAAAAATGGACAGTTCAATCGAAGAAGTAAGCATATCGATGTGAGATATCACTTCATCAACGAGAAGGTCAGCAATGGTGATATCGACATAGAATATTGCTGTTCTGAAAATCAAATAGGAGATATTTTCACGAAGCCTCTAGGGAATCTGAAATTCTTCAAGCACAAGAATTCTCTTATTGTAAAATTTTGAATGTTGATTGTTCTTTATTATTCAGGAATGTGATGATTAGGAGAAGGTGTTGAGAATAATAATCATCACATTTAAATTAGATATACTAACATTCTGTATTATGTTGAAATAATTGAATTTGTTTACTGTCAGTTACTTCATAAGAATTCAATATACGTTTTGAATATAAAAGTTCTTCTTCTTCTTCATAAGATTGTTGAATTAATATAATAATAAAAACCCGATATCCGAACACCTAAGACCAAACAACAAAAGGACTGCTTTACAATATGATGAACGTTCAAAGATAACTTACCGCCTCGGTATGTATAGGGTGCGTGGCGAAAAGAAGACCAGCGAGGGTAGCGAAAGGCGGCCTTAGTCCGGCCACCTGTAGACACGCCCTCGTGAAGAGAACGCACGCCAATGCGTGCAGAGATACGTTGGTCAGGTGGAACCACAGGGGGTTCAGACCGAACAGTGTATAGTTGCTCCTGAAAACGAAAAATAAATACAATGAAATGATCCGAATCAATTTTGAATTCAACCTATCGGTATCTATACCATACAGGGTGCAATTTGATTGATGGCTGGAAATATTGTATATGATTCCCTCTTTACCCTTTCTAACTCTTCAGCGTATTGAAGTTATGACCTACAGAATAATTCTTCTGGAAGTGCGATGATTTTGGTAGAGATTGAAGGACCTACCCCAGTAGGCAAAATACTTTAGATGGTAGATGAGCTTGCAATATTTTGTTAGAAGTTGCATTTATAGAAACATCCTGCATGGATCTGTCTCTAGCCTCTGTGGTTCATACGTCACTCATCGTTTCGGAAATGTATGACATCACAAAAGGGTTAGATTTTACCTCTATTCAATTGTTTTATTAATTATACCTAGTATTATTTGGTGACAATTCCTGATCACAATTTAATCCGTTTCGAATAAAAAATTATATAGGTTACATGCTACTACGCGATCTATCACTTGCATGGTATATTATGTTGAAATTGTTGTGCTCGTTAGAAATGTTATTATTAATTCATAAGTAGAACGGATAGTGTAGAAGTCTAATGGAAATGGGAATATAGATCATTAATAATTTACACATTAGCTTTGAAACATGAAATAATAAAACACAATGTTCAGGTATAATACACAGTACCAAAGTAAGTCAATTTTTGTCCCCTCATCACCTTTGGACTATCAACTCCAAGCAAAATTAAATCTCACATTAGCGAGCGAATAGAAATCGTGAGAAAATATACGACGTCTGAGACTGGTTCAAATTGTCAAGGTGTGCCACAGGGCTCTGTTTTGGGGCCTATCTAGTTCTCATTGTATTTTGATGATTCTCTATTTTTGCAGACGACACAACTATCCTGTGGAATGATACTGAAGTGGAGAATATTCAAACGGAAATTGTCAACTTCCTCTGTAGAAAGGTGGTGTGACTCAAATTTGCTGTCGTTCAATATTGGTAAAACTAGCCTTCTGTTGATCAAATGGGATCTACCAGACATCCAGATAGCAAATAAACGAAGTTAAATTTCTTGGTATCCATCTTTTTTTTATGTTCTGGTTCCCACGAAGAGGAATATCCTGTAATGTTCAGAGAACATCGTGAGAATAAGGTGAGAATTGGTGTTCATCTTGAATTTCTGGAGGTTATATGCCTTGGGGAACACCTCTCTTGGCAATGTATTCCAGAGCCTCGCTGTTCGTTGGATGGAAGGGTCTTTGGAAAGAGATGTTCTGCAGGTCTTCAAAGTGACCACGAAGGGATGCGAAGCCTCAACTCGACGGGTTGATTACGCGGGGACTTCCAAGGGAGGAACAATTGTTGATATTTCAGATGAGCATCGTCCATAAAAATATCAATAAAATAGAGCCAGATCGCCGACTTTTTTGGTGTTCCAGAGAAGTGAGTGAGTTCGTGAGCGAGGCATCACCCACGAGACGAATTGCCCTTTTTTGGACAGAATCCAACAGTTTTATAGATCATAAGCAGCTGACTGGAAGTGAAATAGCTCCTGGCCCGGAACAGAGAACCAAGTTTTTGAGATGCACTTTGAGCAATGGATCTTACGTGATTTTCCCAAGAAAGGTTATTGCTGATAGTAATACCAAGCATCGAAACGGATGTCTTCAAAGGTATGGTTACTCCTGACGAGCTCATGTTGGGCACAGTGAGATTGGCTTTCCTAGAGAAGAGGTATGCTTGTGTCTTGTGATGACAAACTCAACTTTGAGAATCACGTGAAAGTTTTGACTAAAAAATTGGCGTCTGTGTGGATAGTGTCTAGAGAACTAGAATACCTTCCTGGGGCATTCGCAGTGAACAGAATTCCAAATCGATCTTTATCCTCCAGAAGCCTATTCGATACCTCTACGAAGTGGAAGTATCATGCATACCTCAGTTCTCAGAGCAAAAAATCCTGACACTTTCGTGCCCCTTCATTCTCGAAACAGTATGTTCAGTTCACAACAATAAATCGTTATAATATGCGGTTGTAAGTTCTACTCGCCAAAACAACAATTTTAGACTCCCCATTCCATCGACAAGCTTAACCAAAAAGTAATTGATTCATAATGCTGTCAAATTATATAATCATCTTCCAGTCGATTTCAGAAATATTGTTTCTCCAATTCAAACAACATGTCATCAGAGGAACATATTATTGTGTTCAAAAATAACTAGCTGAAGGTTGCAATGATTCGAGTTGATTTTTTTATGGCATGATAGCTCCTGATGGAATACTCTTAATCATTTAGGTTTATGTTATCAATTCAGAACATATACTTTCAATCCGTATTGATACTGTCTCTTTTATTTCTCTGATGATTATTTTTCCTTTGATATTCTATTCTTTTCTTTTCTTGCAATAGACACTGTGATATCAGGTTTATACTATTCGTTATGTGTGCATGTATATTATGACTTTGTTAATGAGAATTCTTTTTCTCACACAATGAAGTATATTTTGATAGATTGATTGAACATCTCCTGTAGGTTCAGGGTTTCCAAATTATGTGTGACTGGATATTAAAACGAGGAAATTTTTCCCGAGGATAATCCTCCACTATTGTTTATAGCGGAACACTTTGTCCTCATCTTCTATCGTGGACTCTGACAAATGGAAGAAAATGTAATATTCAAAAAAGCGTTTTAGTCCGCATCATAAATTTCAATTGTAACTTCAGTTGGTTGTCTCTTTTGTAAACTGAAAAGCATTCGTACTTTAAGAATAGACGTTACGACGCCACAGGGTGAGGCTAATTCCATTTATCATGCGCTAATGGTTCTGATGGGTTGATTCGTTATTATAATGTATTAACATTTTTGGTTGGTCGCTGATTCACGAGCAAATCGGAAATTTCATTTTCCTGACAGGTCTTTGTGGTTATTGATTTAAACGTTTACCAGGTGTCCCAAAGCTTTGAGGTCAGCAGATATCCAGGTTATAATAAAGCATACAAAAAATTTGAGAAAAGTTTTTCATAATTCACCTTGTATAAATCACTGTTTAAATAATGCATTTGAAATACATAAAATGATTCAGTATATACTGGCAGGAAGACTTTGGTCGTTAGCCATTTGGCATAATGTATTTTTTATTTTATGTCCAATAAAGTTTATTTTCTTCTTCTTCTTCTAAGAAAAGTAGAGCAGCAGCTCTTCAAAATTGTGAGAACACATCACCCTTATGTCAAACAATCTTCTAGGAACCACTCCTCACGTTGGTTTTTCAAAACTGCACCTCCATGTTTTCTTCGGTTCATCTAATAGCACTTATACATTATCAATTCGACTATACATCACGAGGGCACATTTCCTGAGTTTTCGAAATCGAGTGTGATAATCCCTATTCAAAAAGGAGGTAACACTCAAGATCTATTTAATTTCAGGCCTATTTCTGTCATTCCGACCTTAGGAAAAGTGATAGAAAAGATCGTGAAGAATCGCCTGATAAAATATCTTGAAGCAAACGAATTGATCAGCAATGAACAATTTGGATTCAGAATCAACAAGAATACGTCTGATACCATGTTTAATTGTCTAGAAAAGGCATTCAACAACATCAATGTAGGAAAGAACGTGGCGGCAGTATTCTGTGATATGACTAAAGCTTTCGATTGTGTAAATCACACATTATCACTGCAGAAAGTCTTTCTGTATGGTATCAGCGACATGGCATTGAAGCGGATGGAATTATATTTGTCAGAAAGAAACCAACAGGTGAAAACTGACCATGCATCCGGACTACTAAAAGTTACTTGGGGAGTACATCAAGGTTCAGTTTCAGGTCCATATTTTTTTCTCTTGTATATTAACGATCTCTTCCTCTCAGATATATCTGGTTTCTTCACATTAATTGCCGACGACACTACCATTCTATGGCACTCTGAATATGTGAATTTGCTTCGTGAAAATGTTACAAGAGACGAAAAATCGAATCGTGGTGCGGTTCAAACTTTCTGTGTTTAAATTTCAATGAAACAAAGTAATCACATTCAAATGTCTTCTTCCTGATATAGAACTATGGACTGACTCCGTATCATCTGATAGCAATATGAAATTGTTGGGACTCAAAATCGAAACACACAAGTCATATAAACATCTTGAACAAAAAATAAGCATCAGGATGTTTTGCCCTCAGGTCTATAGCGAATGAATCAAGTTATGTTGCGGCAAAAAAGGTTTACTTTGCTCTCATAGAGTCAAACTTGAGGTACTCAATTCAGTTCTGGGGTTCATGGAGTCTTTGAGAGTGTAACCTCTTTTCCTGAGACACGGAATATTGACACTAACCTCAATCTACATTTTAGAAGCTGCATGTCTCATTTACAAGAATGCATCTCCATATGAAAATAACAATCGCACTACACGAAATGCATCGAATCTATCATCAGTCCTGATAACATTCCCGGGATGAGCCTAGTGGTCCCATATGGGTACATACTTCTTTTCATATAGAAAATCATTTCTTTATATCATTTTGTTGAATTGGTGTGGAGTCAATGCTCACAATCATACATGTAATAAAAATATTCGAATTGAAAGACTTTTTCCTTCTCGGCAATAATGGGTTGAATTGCATGCAACTACTCTCTGGGTTATGATTAAAAGGGGAGCGAGTTGGAAGTAGCAACAACATGATGTCGTTCGAATGAATTTTCTGAAAAGGGTAATCAGAGCTCATTAGGAGAAACACGTGCATATTCATGAGGATATCTCGCCTCATAAGCTAGTGTTGATGATTAATCTTGATTTCACTTTATACGCTTTTCTGTAATTACTGCTTATAACACGTAACAAAAATTAATCTCATTCAGCTTTGATCTCAATGAGTCGTCATTTGGCGAGTACTGAATGCGATTATCCCTAGAGGATCAATTAACTCTGGAATAATATTATCCTGGGACGGTTTCACGGTAATGAACAGTTTCATCATAAGATGTGTAACTATATACAGTTGAGTCACAAAT